TTAAAAAAAGAAAAAAAAAAATAATAATTACCATAATTGCTTCCACTTTAGAGAATGGCATTTAGCCATTTTCATTTTGGCCACAATTTAATAATAATATTTTTATACCAGGTTTTATATTGGTTTATTTAACTTAATTATACCCTCTAAATCATTCCAAATATGGCATAATATATATTAAAAACTTATTTTAATTATGATTGTGTGTGCGATTAAAAAACGCGAATATGAAATGCAATTTAAGCTTTTATTCCAGGTTGTTAAATAGTCATCGTATTTCAATATGGATGGAAAACTGGAATACCCAAACGGTCTAGAAGGGGGGGAAGGGGGTGGGGTTGGGGGGTTAAAGGGAGGAAGGCACAAATGCAATTAGGAAATAATTGATCGAACTCAAGATATAGAAAATAATTCATAAATGGAACGAAAAAAAATTTTTTTTTTTCACTAAACTTTTCAATTAAATTAGCATGTAATTTGTTAGAAATTATTTGTCAATTTAATTCCATTAGATCATTATTATTATTATTATTATTATTATTATTATTATTATTATTATTATTATTATCATCACGACAACACTATTTTTTTTTGTAATAAAAAAAAAAAAAAATTGTATAACGTATTGAATAATAAGTTTGAAAAGAATCAAACAAACAAATAAATAAAACAGCAAGGAGTCAAAATCTCGTTCAATTAATTATTATTATTATTATTATTATTATTATTATTTTTTGTTATTCAATGTCAAAAAAAATGACAGCCTTGACAAAGGCAATCCTTGTCTCTCCCCCCCCCCCCACCACCCCGCCTTCGATACAACGTGTTTCAATAATCAATTTTATTATATTTATATATATACAAATGTTTAAATTAACAATTGCAATTCATGAATAATGTAATTGGAAAACAACAACAACAACAAAACGAAAATCGTCTTTGCACCACCGCAAGCATACAAGCGTTTCTTAAATAATAATAATAATTTAAAAAAAAAAAAAAATTCTCATTGCTGTCAAGGCCAAAGTAATTTTTTTTTTTTTTTTTTGAATTGATTGGTTATTTACAATGCCTAAAATGTTTTACATTAGAGATATAATTTTTAAATTTTTTTTTAACTTGACAATCCTCATAAGTCAAAAACAAAAAAAAAACAAATATAAGGCTATCTATTTATTTATCTATCTTATATGAAAGTTGTTGTCGTTGTTGTTCAAATTTTTAATTTTTATATTTTAAGGTAAAACTTTCAAATTTTTTTTTATTTTGAAAACTAATTTATATCATTTGTTCAATTATTATTTATTTATTTGGTCTGTCTGCCTGTTAATTAAGAAGTTTTTTTTATGTTTTGTTTGACATAAAATAAAAGTTTCAAGCAATTATTTATCAATTAGATTTTAACTTTATGATATAGATATTGAATATTATTTTATATTTCATGATGCAATTCTCATGGCTTGTAAAAAATTCAAATAAATTTTTATTTTTAAATAAATTGATTAAATGTACATACAATATACTATTATCCCTAAATTAGCCTGATCATTTTTTTTTGTTTAAATTTCAATCAGTTTTATATAAAAATAATAATTTAACTTGGAACCTATAATTATTAAAAATTAAAGTTTTCAAATTTATATATGGCTTCAATAAAATAAAGCTTTTTAAATTTTTTTTGTACCTTTTTACACACAAAATTAATTTAATACAATTAAAGTATAAATACTACTTGAAGAAAATCAAATATTTAAATTATTATTATTAATTTCATATAAGAACTAATAATAATAATAATGGTGTTTTAAGTGCAGGTAAAAGTCATTTTATGATATTAAAGTAGATGACAGAATGATTGAAACAAATGAAAATAATAAGAATTTTAATTTTCTTACCATATAAACAATTGTTTGAGTTATTTTTTTCCATTAAATTATAAATAAGAAAATAAAATTCTTACCCATTTCAGTTTTTTTGTTGTAATGGCTTTGTCAGTTTGGCAGTTAAATTAGTTGAATGCCTGTAAATATTCACTACACTCTTTAAAAACACATATACGAATGACACTTACGAATATTAAAAGATAAAACTTAAAAACCACCATTTTAAAAAGAGTTTGACAATATAAAATAAATCAAAACCGAATCAAATGATTGAAAAATTAAAAATGAGTTATCTTTCAACTTCATTTTCCAACACACTATTCGCGCTAAAAATTTGTTGTTTACATCTATGTATATTTTATTTCTATGGCAATTCTTGTGACACGACTTTATTATTAACCATCAAACTTTATTTTTTTAGTTTATTTAAATTGTTAGAATGATGTTAATAAAACTTTATTTTACATATAATAATTATTTAGACGAATAATATAGGTTTAGAAATATAATTATTAATTTATGCAATATTGCATTTTATTGTAAATGTATGAGTCAATGTCTGTTATTATCGTATATAACATCAAATTACATATCGAAAGCCAGTTGTGTGTTCCTTTGTCATAGAGTAAAACTTACAGTTTTCAGAATTTCTTTCTGGAAGCACCGGTTTGTTCATGTGAAATACTGTCTTATTGTTGTAATTAGATTTAGATAATTATATAAAAATGACGCTGAATCCAGCATACGATGTAATAGGAAAAGGTTTTGTTCAACAATATTACGCCATGTTCGATGATCCAGCCCAACGGCCACAATTAGTTAACATGTACAACGTAAGTACTGCAATTCCCCTCCCAAGGCTCTTATTAATTTAAAATACCACACATTTACATTTCCTTTACCATTTTTTTATTTTATTTTACAACCCATTTCGTTTTCTCTCACTCTTATTTATAATTTAGTATTAACAATAAAAAAAAAAAAATATGTAATACGTATGGTTTTATTCTTTTCAACCTTGTTAACCTGCATATAAGTTGACTCATTCATATAAATAAAATACCAACTTTTTACATATTGAAAGGTTACTAATAATTTAAATAAAACACCACATTGTAACAAAAAAAAAAAAATTAAGTGTGTACACTTTAAAAAATTATAAACATAACAATTATTACGATAACATTTGCAATATTAAAATTTTTAACCATTAATTTCAGGTTGACAGTTCATTTATGACATTTGAAGGTATTCAAATTCAAGGAGGACCAAAAATAATGGAAAAACTATCAGTAAGATTTTCATATAAAATACAATGTACAATATTATTTGTTTTCTTAATTATCTTAACATTAATTTTATTTTATTTATAGAGTTTAACATTTCAAAAAATAAGTAGAGTTATCACTGCCGTTGATTCTCAGCCAATGTTTGATGGTGGCATACTTATAAATGTATTAGGTCAATTACAGGTAAGAATAAATCAATCACATAACAATATAAATCTAAAGTTAAAATTCTAAAAGTTTTCTTTGGTATATAGTTTTAAATTTAAATTATTTACTTGTGTAGAAACCCTAAGCGAGAATGAAATCGACAACAACAAAAACTTTGCTTAATTTTCATTTTACTCTATGCACACCATCTGAATTTATTATTATTATTATGTTCGATTAGAAAAAAAAACATAACTCTTAATTTTTTTTGTAATATCACATTTGAGAAAAATTGTAATGTATTTTAAAATATGAAGAAAAATATGTATATATAAATATATATATTTACCTAATTGTAGACAGATGAAGATCCGCCACATGCTTATATACAAACGTTTGTACTCAAACCGATTGGAAATAGTTTCTTCGTTCAGCATGATATGTTTAGATTGGCTCTACATGATTGCTGATGAGTTGAGAAAAATGAAATTTCTATTAAACAGTAGGTGAAAGCCTCACTGATGACTTCTATATCTAATTATTTTTTCAGATTGATTTTAATTAACATTTTTTTTTTTATAATTATTATTATTATTAAACAAAAAACATGAGTGTATGTGTATATATACATTTGGCACTTTTGACAACGTGAGCTTGCCTATGCAATTAAAAAAAAAAAAAATTCATGTACAAAATTGCTTACCATGCGATGCACGTTCACATTTTTTTTCTTTATACATTTTTCGCTAAAAAAAAAAAAAAAATTTAGTTTTACTTAATTATTTACAGGTATTATGGAAATGAAAATTAATATTATAGATTAAGCAAAGTTCATTTAAACAATTTCACCCTGATTAATAATGATAATAATTATTATCATAATTTTTTAACAAAATAATTTTTTTTTAGTTTTATACAGAGAACACACAAAAAAACAAATAATGGAAGAAGGCAAAATTTTTTTTTTTTTTTTAAATAACACTTTTACGGCGCTTATGGTTTTTTTTTTTGTATTTATTTTGACTTCCTATCGATTATTCATCGATTGATTTTTTTCTTTTTTTTTTTTTTTTTTTAATATTTCAGACTGACGAACGATCCCCCCACATGGATTTTCACCACGTGTTCGTATTAAAACCACTTGGAAATTCTTTTTATTGTGCACATGATATATTTCGATTGAGCATTCACAACAATGCCTGATTATTGTCGTCGTCGTCGTCTTCGTCGTCGTCGTCGTCGTCGTCCATTTTCCAAAAAATATTTTTATTACTGCTGCTCGCATTATTTACAACAAGAGTTTATTATAATAATAATAATAATAATAATTATATACAATAGACAATTTGATATTAAAAAAAAAAAAAAAAAAAATTTAGTGTAAAATAATTTTTTTTTTTTTTCTTTTTCTTTTTTCTTTTTTGGGTTTTCTTTTTTTTCGTTTTTTTCGTTTTTTTTTTTTTTTTTTTTTTTTTAAAATGAAAATTACAAAATAATAATAAGGATAATGAAAATGAAAAGGGAAAAAGTAGTTTAAAAAAAAAAAAATAATAAATTTTTTTTTCGGGTCTGAAAACAAAAAAAAAATTATTATACTTTTAAAAAATTTTCGTAATCAATTACTCGCTTGATTATTATTATTATTATTATTATTAATATTATTATTATTATTGTCATTATTAATAATAATACTAACATTGTTTTTTTTTTTTTTTTTAAAGTTGTTAATCTATAACAAAAAAAAAAAATTAAAACAAAAAAAATTTAAACAAATTGTAATTTTAATAATTATTTTTAATTATTATTTAAAGAAATTGGGGGTGGGAAGGGGAGGGGGGAGTGGGAAGGGGAAGTGTTATTAAGTTTGATAATGTGAATTTTTGTTATTATTCCGTAATTGTAAGTGATCAAAGTGTGTAATAATTTTTTTTTTTTTTTTTTTACAAAAAAATTATGTAATTTTTCTCTCTCCAAAATGAGAAAAAAAATAAAAAATAAAAAAATGGCCATTTAAATAATTTAAATCACGTGTTTTTAATTAATTTTTTTTTTTTTGTAATTATTATGTTAATTTAATATTGATAAACACGACGATTATGTTTTGTTATTAATATGTATTGTATGAAAAAAGACAGTAAAAGTAGTTAATGGTAATAATAAGAGAGGAAGAGAGAGAGGGAGAGGGAGAAAATGATGTTTTGAAAAGTCAAATTATTATTATTATTATTATAAATAAAATCATGTTTATGTGTTTTCGCATTCGTCATCGCATCCCCCACCACCACCACCCCATTATAAGACGATGGTGGTAGTGACGATGATGATGATGATTTTGTCTTGTTTATTATTATTATTGTTTAACCAAAAATCAAATCACGTGAAAATTTTTGAACAAAAAAATAAAATTATTAACGGGAAAATTAAAGCGTTTTTTTTTTTTTTTTTTTTTATTGCGATTAAGAAAGAAAAAGAAAATGCTATGATAATAATAATGATAATAATAATAATAATAATAAAAAATTGGGTTTTGTTTAGTACGTAAAAATTTATTTTTTAACCGAATCGTCGTCGAATTATTTCGTCGGGTTTTTACATATTTATTTAATATGTTCAAACGTATTATTATTATTATTAATATTATTATTATTACTATTATTATTTTGTTCAGTTTTTTTTTTTTTTATTTGGTATTAAATTAAATTTTTTAAATTGTTTAAAAAAGTAAAAAAAGTAAAAAATAAAAAAGATAAAAAAGATTTAATGGATTAATAAATTATTTCTTTATTGAGTGTGTGTGGGGGTAGGAGGGGGAGGAGGGAAGGGAAGAGGGGGAAATTCCTATCCTGTTTTTATATCCGAATAATGAATAAAACAAAAAATGTAATTTAATTATTAATTAGATAACAATTAATAAGTTATTAATATTAATAATAGGAAAAAAAAGAGGAAAAGAGTGCGTTAGAGTGATTAAAAATTATTATTATTATTCTTATTATTACTATTATTATTATTAGTTTTTTTTTTTTGGGAAAAGTAATAAGGGGATGGCATAATTTTGTTTTTTCCCCCCCCCCCCACGCCCCCGTCCCTCACACCCCTTAACAGAAGTTTTCACTAAGAATTGTTAACAAAAAAAAAAAAAAAAAAAAAAGAAAATTTATAATTATTGATTGATTTTATTTATAGCGTTTATAATAATGATAATAATAATAATTCAATCAATCATCGTTTTTATTTGAATAAAATGAGAATAATACGTTTCTCATACTTGCAACGATTTCATTGGCTTGAGGATAAAAATATTTGGCATCGGGTTTCGAGGCATTGTAAAATTGTTTCATGGGTTTACCATTTGAATCCAGAAAAATTATTCTTGGTACGTAATGACCATCAACGGCATAAGTTTCTTCGACCGATTTTTGATCCACGCTTTTCGCCTGTAAATCAATTATTATTATTATCGTGAAAGTCGTGAGGAAAGTGGTGGTGGTGGTGGTGATGGCGATGGTGATGGTGGTTGTGGTGATGGTGGGGGCGATGATAAGAAAAATAATAAAAGAATTTTTTTTTATTTATTACCATGACGAAAAACTTGCTGAGAACGCGAAAATCTTTATCCTCCACGTATTCAGGTTCGATGTATTTGCACGTGGGACAAAATGATTTCATTATCATTAAAAAAACAGGTTTCTTAGTGAAATTTGCTATGAGTACGGCTTTTTCAACATCGTTAACCCAATATATTTTTTCTTTCGATTCTATTTGACCCATTTTTAATTATTATTATTTATTTATTATTATTTATTATTATTATTATTATTTATTATTTATTAACAACAAACCAAAATAAAAATCATTCAAAAAAAATTAATAATTTAATAAAATAACGATAAAACAATAAAAAAAATAAAAAAATTTACGTGCTCGTATACGAATTTATTATTATTATTATTATTATTATTATTGTTACATACGGTAAATAATTTTATTTAATTTTGATTGATTGATTGATTTATTGTTTGATCGATCGATAATTTCATTTATTACTAGAACAAGATGAAGAAAATGAATAAGAGAAGAAAAAAACAAAAACAAAACGAAATTTTAATTTAGTAAAAAAAAAAAAAAAAATTTTTTTTTTTTATGTTTTAAATATTCAAACGTTATAAAAAAATTATAAA